TTTCGTCGCTTGGCAACGACGTTGTAAAACAAGCCAATTCACTTCGTGAACTTGGCAACCAAGTTACCGTTTTTTTTTTTTACCTCCGTTTATTTTTTTTGGGCGGTAACCATAATGATGGTTGAGTAGATCATGTTGTGCGGGGTGAACCCTCACTCCGCGCAAGGGGGATGATCGCACCACGTTGTGTTAAAATGGTCAAGCACCCTCGAGGCAGTTACACAGTGCTTACAACTGTCTCTGGAAGTGAAAGCACCAGAAAATAAATTAATTCATACGCAGCTGTCATCCGTACGCAAGGAAGTAAGCACAAGATGCCGAACACCCTTAGCAGGATGCAGCGCACCCTTCATGCGACTCGCCGAATATCTCACGGCGCTTCGCGCTTGGTGATGTGAGAGCATGGTCCGGTGAGAACCCGGCGTGCTCCGTCCCGGCTTTGTAGGGATGCGAGGTCAATGGTCTAAGGACTACGGCATGCACGACTATGAGTAGACCCCCACCCCCCCCACCCCCCTTCCTGAGGGTTGACCTCGTTGTGGCAAGGAATTGCGAAACTACGGTCTGCATATGCGTTGCGCACTGGAAGTTGTTCATTGTGCGGTGTATCCTGTGAACGAACGTGCGGGCTTCGGTCCTGCTGGAGCTTTCATCGTATAGGTAGTTGGACTGCCTACGCAATCCGTGTTGCGTAGACTAAGATGGAGAGTCGGAACGCGAGAGCTGCTTTCTGTACAAGCTGTTCCACCTGGGCTGATTTTACCCGGTTCAAGAGATGCAGGTATAGCCACCATCATGAGGTGTCTTGCATGAAAAAAACGGCAGCGGATGCTCTCGCGTGTGGCCGTTGGGTTGGGTAAGATAGAGTGCTTGTTGAAAACGGCAAGTTGCCGTTGACCGCATCTCAAGAGTCAACCCCTTCATAGCACTCTCGAGGTTGCGGATTGCACAACGAGCACCGCCTGCCCGACGGTAAGTGATACCTGTGCTAGCACATGTGATGGTCATGGTGTGTGCTCTCGTCAACAGCTTTCCTTAGAGACTTACCGCACTCCTCTTGCTGTACACCAGTTCTACAGTACCTCATTTCGTTGTGTGTGTTGCGTCTGAGACCTTGCGGGCCGCACGCGCGCTCAAGTGTTCCGTGTGCATGACTGAATTCTGTTGCATGTGATATAGTTGGGACACTACAACACTGGTCCTTTGTTGGCCTACAGGGCTAGTACAAGCCCTTACACGAAGTTCGGAAAAGGCACACCTTGCACAGGATCGCCCTCTTGTGACCCCGCTGTAATAACGAAAAAGTGTGCGCACAACAGCAGATCGCCACTGCAGCGGTAGTGGTTGGTCTTCAAACGTAAACAGAAGAAAACAGCATTTCAAACGCCAAATAGGCAGGAAGTAGGCTGGGTTGGCGAAGAAACCGCGACATTTCGTGGACTTAACCCCCCATGTTGAGTTTGGTGGTGCACCGTTTCCCCTCAAAGAAACGCACGCCCTCCGCAGGCCGTGGTTATTTAGGGGGAGATGTCCAACCCTTCTCACAATCTCAAGTCTCCGTTCTGATGTGGTGCAAATGGGATTTGGTACCTACAAAAGCGCCATGTTCTGGGTATCTTCCCGTACCCGATACGATTGTTCGTGCAGTATCACTTCCAATACCTTACCCGAATGTGCTGCAAATGTTTGTGAACAAGCCTGAAGCAATCCTTTGCTTCTGCATGATATGCTCACATTCCCGATGTATTGACTCCAAGGGCGAGGCGAGTTACAGCACCGTGAAATACGGCTTGAATCTCATGCACCAGGGCAAATCTACGCACGTTGCCGTCAACTCTGTAGAATCACAAAGCTCGTTGGACAAGGCTTTGTTGGAGAACGTCAAACCATTGCCACTTTGACGACGTACTTTGGTACAGTATTGCCCCAAACTAGATGGTGAGCTGAACTAAGTACTGACATTGAACCACCCTGTATGTTATTTCCATTGCTCGCGGCTCGCCCATGTTCTGTTTAGCTGCTACAGGCTCCTCTATCGTAAGAAAAGCTAAGAAGCAATGCCCATTAGAAACCGATTCAATTTTGTCTGAAATCAACTTTCGAGTAGGGAAATCGAGGCAGGTAGGATTGTGGTCAAGGCATGGGAGGATTAGTTGTGGTACGCAATGCTTCCTTGTGGTCATGTATTTGAGGTAGACGTAGTCTTCCTGCAAGCTTAACATGTAAATGATAAATGATGTAGATTGCGTGTGTGTGGCTACTACAGCAGTGTGATAAGCGCGTCAGAGCATCGACAGGGGTAGAGGCGGGTTATGGCAACTTTCCAACGCCACGAGCATGAGCGGACGAATCAGAGATACATGTAACGTTGACCAATCAGGACACAGCAGCACCGGTGTGTTGACAAAACAGGGAAAAAGCGGGCACCCTACTTCCGATCCCGATCGTTGAAAGTGCGTCCACGGTTGTTGTTGCACCTTTCAGCTGAGTTGGTTGGGACGGCTCTTGCTCCTCGCTTGTGTTAGTCGGCAGCCTCTAGGGTGGGACTGGACAAGTGTGTGCGCGAATTATTTCAATTGTATTATTTCGTTCTCGCTGTTGGAAGCTAAAGGTTGTCTGGCTGTTCGTCGCATCTACTCTGGGCCGGCCAGGGGCAATCTACGGGCGAATACCCAGATCGGGGACAGCCGGGTATACGTGGGCGAATAATTTTTGACCGGGGTATTTTTCCGAGTATGTATTGCATCTTGACCCGATATTTGTTTGAGTTCTGTGGCACTTCCAGTATCCTACCCGGAACTTCTGTGAGTTGTACAGAATGTATGAACATGCCTTATATTCTGTGACTGTTCTGAATCCCACTTACCAGATTATTTCGGTTTGATTCTGTTACACTTAAACTACCCCACCCGAGACTTTCCTGCGAGTTCCGTAACACGTGCAATGCTCAACTCACTTTGTTTGTACAAATACATGTACGTGAACATACCTGAACCTTCTGTGGGTTCTGTATAAGATGCTCATGTGCCCAAAAATCTCCGTTGAGCTCTGTGACACTTCCCTCCAGAACTCTCATGTGCTCCCATTGGAAGCACCTTGTACCACCGAAAAGGTGACCTGATTTGCTCTCAGGAATTCATAATTGTGGTCACGATCCCGCGCTCCACATGCAATCGATTGGCGCTTTGCCCCAGGTGAAACTGTTCCACATGGCGAAACCCGTAAACCCTTCCATACCGCCTCCCGTCGTTGATGATGGCGGGGAAGATGCTGCTAGCCAACCAGGACTAGCGCTTCTCGGTCTACTCGGTGTCGAGTCATCGTCATCACTGCCAGCATCTACATCATCGTTCTCAACGGCTTCACCCTCCCCCCTTTCTGTTGATTCACCTAGCACCACCTTTCTTGCTCCTGTCGGTGGTGCGGGGATAATGAATGGAGGGGATAATTTCCAGCCATCAACCACCTCCGTACAGCTGCCTCCAGACGTGCAAGGTGGAAGTTTTGTCGGCAGTAGTAGTCATAGTGGAGACGGGCCTGGCGGAACGGAAGGGGGACCAGCGACCGGACGCACGGTCGGAGCAAGCAGACTCTTCAAGGGCTTTGAAAAGACGGAGACAGTAGTAAGGAGGAAGAAGGTAGCGCCGCCACCCCCACCGGCTGGAGCACCTCCGCCAATACCCCCTTCTGGCGAAAGAGAGCACGTGACACATCGGTGAGAGAGAATTCTTCGCGTTTATTTTGTAAAGGTTGCTAGCGTCGCCCACTCGTGTCATGTGTTTGCACTGCGTGGTTGGTTCCTAAGCCGAAGGACATATTTGGAGGAATACCCTCGGCAAGGTCTATGATTTCATTTTTTTCGCCTTGAGGGGCTCAATGCGTGGTAGTCAGAGAGGAGATATCCGATTGTATGTCTGTTTTTGCTTGTATGGATGACGTGAGGTTGACCTCTGCCATGAGGACCGGTATTGTAAGGACCAGTTGTTCTCACTGATGATGCAATGCACACCGTCAAGGCTTTCCAAGGTCTCACAACCATTCAAGCATGATATGAATAGGCGACCTTTTTGTCGAAGCAATAGCAAGAACTCAAACTTTGAAAGTGTTTCTCGTCGATTGAATTGGAGGGCTCTCAAGCAGGTGCTATTCCAGCTATGTGTCGCAGCCAGGCCTGTGAATTTGAAAACGCTCATGTTTACTGTGAACTCATGTTTATGCCGACATGACGCGTGCTAGAGTAGTACCGATACTGTCACACACCCCATTTTCGACTCCCTCGATTTTTTACGGGACGCATTTGCAACCTGCATTTCGCTGCCTCCGTACAGATACCCGAAAGACATTTGGCCAGGGCACAAACCTCCAAATCACTTCGTCGGAGGGGAAGGGGCAAGCGATGGCGAGAGAGCTGGGGATGAGGAACAGCTCGAATTTTTCTGCGACGGGTGCGACGAGACGATTCCCAGCGGCGTCGAGCGCATGGAGTGCGCGGTGTGCCCTGATGAGTTCTGCCTGTGTCATGCTTGCTACGACGAGGGAGAGGTGGGTGATGCTCGCTGAGGTGTTCGATAGCTGTGTTGTGCAGGTCCCAGTCTATCAGCCGTTTACTGCAGGGGCTCAAGTTTTCGAAAGTTTTCTCGTTTTCCTTCTCTTCGGGCGGTAGTGGATTCGGCCTTTCATCGGCCGATATGTTCACAACGGTGCCGCCGTGGGCACTGTCGCGTAAAGACGACGTGTTTTTCTTCTCCAGCCGTTGCCTCAGGTCCTCTCGTTCACTTGGATTTTGTTGTTCACTCAAATAAAGTTGAGTCAGCTATGCGTTCGGTGATGATGCATCGATCACCCATCTGTCAATACCTGAAGAGGGTAATATTGGATTCTTGCTTCGTGTTGTTGATTGTCGAGAGTTGCTGGCCACACAGCACCCCCGCGTGTGGTCTCCTCAGCAGGCCATCTTTGCGCGTCGATCCACGGTACTGCTGTGGTTTGTTGTAGGTTTCATATTGTCATTGTTGTTTTTCTGACCAACCAAACGCGTACCTACAAAAATGGAAGCACCGACCGTACCACGGTCTCAATGTACCTTGTTCATCTGCGCAGGTCCTTGATAAGCGACACAAGCATGAGCTCTTGCCCTCCGCAGCTCCGTTTCACGTTACGCGTGCTGCCCCAAGCGCCGCGGCGGCGCTGGAGGCAGCAAAAGCGTTGCACGTTGCCGAGGCACACCACGGGGAAGGCTTGGCCTACGATGAGGCCGACCTAGGATAAAAGTTCTACAACGCGTCCTTGGACGTTGTGATAGCGGGGGTTGGTTTTGCATGCCCAGTGCACTGCTGTAATTTGCGTCCATGTCGGGTTTCACAGTCGATGACAGGTCGGATAGATGCCTCAGATGTGTTGGTGTTGGTTTTGGTGTAGAATCCGCGATTTTCCGGTAAGACAGAACTGGACGTCATTCGCACTTAGACGACTGTAGGATGTCCGCGAGTGTTTTGCCTTGCAGTATCTGTGGACACAACCACCGAACTTGCCTAGGTAGACACCTAAGGTATGAGAGAGACCATTCACAAGGTCTCGACAGGTCGTAAGCATAAGTTCACGTATCGGAGGTTGAGAGCATATTTTCATCGTGGTATGGATAGGCTGTTTCAATGTAGAGAATCGTGGTGGGCTGCGAATCCGATGAAAGGATATGTTGTAGCCATGGATCAGTTGATGTTGGTCGAGACCACAACCCATGGGAAGGTCGACGCGGTGTTTCCGGCGATGTACAGGATAACTGTGTATGCCGATGTTCGTAATTATACCCTCAGCAGTGACGACTGTTCGCCTGTTCAAGGTTTATGGTGTGCCTGTTACTCTCTGTGTTTCTCCCTGTGGGGCGACTGGTAATACGCAAGATAATCCGTGCGTCATGCTTAGATTGACTTAATTACTGTACTTGCTGGTCAGCACTAACACTATCCGGTGCAAGATCGCACGCAGTCGCTGAGGTGAGATCACCCGCACTGCTGTTTTTGCCCATGTACCAACAACAGTCATAACCTCACGGCACTCCACCAGCACCGGGTGGAGGCGTAGCCCTGACCGACGTGGGATGCTTGTGAACTCTCTGGCTTTTGCCGGGGGAAAGGCTTCAAGATTTACGCCGAAAGGCCACATTTTTGGCCCGTCCTCAGTGATGGGTGTTACCGATGGAGTAGTGAATGAAGTCCATTGTGCACGTCGTAACATGAACTTTTCTCGATGATGTTCGAAAGGGAAGCAAGTGTATACCAACAGCTACCCGTTTGTGCGCTGACGAGGTCACCGACTAGCAGCAGTCTGATGCGCGCAGGAACCAATGCCATCATTGGACAGTCTACCCCGCCGAGATGGATACTCGTCAACCGCTTGTGTCACTTTTTCCGTGTAACGATGCAGCATGACGAGCGGAAATATTGCACCTTACCTCTCTTCTCTAACGGTTGCAGTTGGTTGCAGCCACAAATTGTACAGTACCTCTTGCCATTGTAGGCTCGTTTCATGTGTGTGAAAAACCGCACAGCACGACACCATGGTGTTGTTGCCGACTTTGCGGCTTTAGTCCACACACGTGCGCACGCAAGCTCCTTCACCTGCGTCATTTTCCTGGCAGTCTAGTTGAGTACAGCCACGACTGCTTTGCCAAGGCGCCACAGACTCGGGGGAAACCCGAATCAGAGTTCAGGTGCACGCATCCTGGAGGTCGAAGCCGACTCCGCAACGGTTGCAACAACTGGTGGCATTCTCCCTCGTCAACATGTGACTCTCTCCATGTGTTCGCCGGTGGGCTCAGAGCGTCATCATGTATTGTAGTCGGCTCTCTGCTTTTCCAAGTTCGCTGACTGCGTGTGTGGTTCCATTACATTGATGCAACACAAGAACCAGGTCTCGTGCCTTTGCGAGGTTACGGAGAGTTTGCCGTACACGTGTACCCCTCTCCGATTCATGTTCATAGATATGCCAAGCAAGCTGGGCCTGCCACCAATCGCGGCCTCTCACTATGGTCTCTCTATCTAGGATCTACGTATATCTAAAGAGCATGGGATCCACACGTCACGCTTGGTGTTCACTGGATGCAGTGTGAGATGTTCGTATGAACACGTTTTATGGCCTCCCTGGGCGGTGAGAGGAAGGGCGCAGATAGTTTTGGCTTCGTCGAGCACACATGCTGAACCGTGCAGCGTAGACGCATGAGGGCACGGGGGCACGGGGGCACGGGAGACAGAGATTGAGAGAAAAAACGCCGCGGTGCAATTGAAAACCGACGAAAGAAACCGCCCAAAAACAAAATTATTGATCCACCGCTTGCCTCGTCCCGAAAAAGAAATTGACAACCGACCTCACTCACGTCGGCCTCATAGGTTTCCGGTCTAGCGAGTCCGGCGTGTGGATACCAGTGATCGTCCAATTCTTGACCTCCCCCCTTCACGTGTGGAGCGCCACATGTGGCAGGCGGGGGAGGAGTTTTGTCGACTTTTCGATACGAATGTCTGTGTTTCGTACAACAGCCGTACAGCAGTGATAAAAAACGGCGTGTCTAAATCCTCCCCCGGCGGGGGATTTACGATAATCCCCGCCCGGGGGGGGATTAGTGTCTACATCCCCCCCGTTTGTATCTCCGCCCGCGAGGCACCAATCGAGCCGGGACACGCACGGCTGTGTTGCTGTGATGTAGGGCTATCGCGAGATACCTCGTACAGCGGAAACGGTGCAGGGTTGGTGCAGACATGGCTGATGGGCAAAGTATATCTGTTGTCCCAACCTGCCCCCCGGGGGGGGGATTAGTGTCTAAATCCCCCCCCGTCTGTATCTCCGCCCACGAGGCACCAATCGAGCCAGGACACGCATGGCTGTGTTGCTGTGATGTAGGGCTATCGCGAGACACCTCGTAGAGCGGAAACGGTGCAGGTTTGGTGCAGCCTGATCGATAATTCGGGTGGCTCAGTTGTGTGTGATGGGAGTGTAGAGCAGCT